TTTCCTCTCCTTCTTCTCTTTAATCATTTGCTCTGTGTTCTCTGGATATTACCAGCCCCTCTTCTTCTCCACTCCCATGTTTATACCCCTAGCTCAGACTTTCATCATCTCTCACCTGATATTGTAATATCCTCCTAACTCATCTCCCCATCTCCAGTATCTTTCCAGCTGCAATCCATCCTTCACACAGCTCCCAACAAAATTCCCCTAAGATACAGGTCCAACTCTGTCACTCCGATGCTAAATCATTGGCTTCCCATTGGCTTCTAGGGTCAACCACAATCCTGTTAGCTCAGCACTGAAGGCCTTCCACTGTCTGCCTCTAACCTGATTTTCCAACATTTTTTTTCTGCCTTAGTCTTCCTTACTCATTCTACCTTCCAGTCAGACTGTTCTTTCTCCCCTGTTACATAATGTCATTCTATACTCTCTTGCCCCAGGACATTGGCACCAATTGGCTTCTGTACCTGGAATGTGATCCATCCTCCTTTCTACTTTTTGAAATAATGTTCTTCCTTCAGGGCTCAGGTGCCACGTCTAGCATAAAACCTTCCTCAAATCTCCCTGATGAAGAACAGCTTTGAAAGTATCTGTTAAGTAAAACATAAACTATTATTATTATTCTTGTATTATAGGCAGGTCAGCTTTTTAAACTTGTGTTCAAAAAATGATTTATTTGTGCTTGTTGTCAAAAGAGGAAATTAAGTAGGCTTTACAAATTGAGCAAGTGATTTTTTTAAACCAGATATAGTATTTTTTCCACTTTTTTCTTTTTATTCTGAACACAAAATCAATTGAACATTTCCTTATACCAATTATGTGGAGTTTGCTTTTTTTTTTTTTTTAAGTATATAATAAACTCAGTATGTAATTTTCAAAGCTATCCTGTTTGTCTTTGATTGTTTCTAGTCTTTGTTCTATTCTCTTTTTGGGGGTGAGGAGGATTCCTGTTCTTAAAGCCCCCTCTCTCACCTAACTCCCCTTCCCATTAAAAAAACAACAACAACAAAACCTTGCGATAACTATGGAAAATCCAAGCAAATTCCCATATTGACCATGTCCAGAAATGTATGTCACATTCTGCATGGTGTGTCCATCACCTCTAGCATGCCTCATGATTCATCCTCTGGGTGTGTGGTTGGTAATTGCATTGATGGGAGTTCTGAGGCTTTCAGAGTGTTTACCTATATGGTGTTGTCCTGGTTCTGTTCATTCTGCTTCTATTCATACAAATCTTCCCAGGTTTCTCTGAAACTGTCACTTTCATCAAACTACAGAATTTTGCAGAATATAATATGGCATTGCACAATTACTAGAATGCTATAAAATAAAATCAATAACTTCAACTGCTTCTTGTTACCTTTAGGTTCAATTATAAACACCTTTGCCATTTAGAACAAGAAAGTGAGCGTCTTGAGAGCAGGGACTGCCTTTCTTTTTTATTGTATTCCCAGCAGCTAGTCCAGAGTGCTTTGCATATAGTAGGTGCTTAATAAATGCTTCATTCATTCACTAAAACTCTTCTCAATCTAGCCCTTTCCTGTTTTTCCAGTTTTTGGGTATATATCTTTCTTCCTTCTACGCTCTCTATATATATAGTCTGACCATACTGGCCAACTCACTGTTCCTTGTCCCTTCTCCATGACTTTGCATTGGCTGTGCCTCATGCCCGGAATGCCTTTCTGCAGAACTATCTTCTGAAATCCCTGGTTTCCTTCAGGACCTAGCTCAAGTACCACCTTCTGCATAAAGCCTTTTTCTGGTCTGTTCCTCCCAGTTTGTTAGTGCCTTCCCCTTCAAGTGTACTTTGTGTGTGTGGACATATATAAGTACCTACGTAGACACACATACATACATACATACATACATACATATGGACCTATATATGTACATACATAGTACATATACATATGTATATACAATTATGTATATGTGCATATATGTGTACATATTGGTATTTACCCCTTTACGTGTATATGTATATGTGTGTACACACACACACACACACACACACACACACACGCCCCGTTTTTTTTTCCCTACAGATAAGTAGATATGTGAGCAGCAAGGCTGTACATAGGCGGCACTGTGGGAACATGACTTGCTTTGGCATCAGAGAATCTGGGTACAAAACCAAGGTCTGCTATATAATTACTACTTTTTGTGAGATAGATGGACCTACACACATATGTATATGTATGTACTTATATATGTACACATTGTACTAGCTTGCATTTGAATGAGGGAGGCAGCATGTGTGCATGTGTACCTATATATGTACATGTCCCCTCACATATGTATGCATGTATACGTACCTGTATACGTACATGTTGCCTCAGCATGTGTGCATGTACCTATATACGTACATGTCACCTCACACATGTATGCATGTGTGTACCTATCTACGTGCATGTCACCTCACATATGTATGCCTGTATGTGTACCTGTTACATACATGTTGCCTCGATGTGTATGCATGTACATTATGCATATGTGTATATTACCTCATATATGTATGTGTACATACCAGTATATGTACATGTTGGCTCACATATAGATATGTACATACCTATATATGTACACATCACCTCACATATGTATATATGTATGTTTACATGCCTATATGTGTACATGCTGCCTCACATATACATGCATGTTTATGGGCACATGCCTCATATACATGTGTATGTTTACATGTTGCCTCCCCCAGTAGAATATAAGCTCCTGGAGGACAGGGGTTTTTGCCTTTGTCTTCATATCCCTAGGGCTTAGCACAGTGCCTGGCGTATAGTGCCTAATAAATGCAAGCTGACTGAATAAATTGGCATTTTGGTCGGATGTAGAAAGATTGCTTTTGCAGCGTGTTCCCAAGCACGAGCTGCCGAGAGAGGCCGATAACGTTCTCGTTGCTCCTTGCACAGCTGTGGCGTCGGCCTGCTGTTTCAAAGGACACTGGAGGAGCGGGCTAGAGGCCACCTGCCCGTGGGGCCTCTGTGTCTCCTCCTGCCTCTTTTGGTCTTGTGGGATGGGCCTGCCCTGACCCCTGGTCCCTCATCCTCAGACCTCTGGAAGCCCCATCTTTTTCTCAAGCAGCCAGGCTGTACACAGGTGGCACAGTACAAGCACAGCTTGGTTTGCTGTGGGCATCAGAGCATCCGCATGGTACAAAACCAGGGTCTGCTACACAATTACAACTTTTTGTGAGGTCTTGGGCAGGCCTCTGGCCCAGTTTTCTCATCTGTAAGAATGAGGGGTTTGGCCCGGATGACTTCTGAGTCCCTTTGAGCCCTAAATCTATGTTACTCCCAGGGTGCTTTGTCTTAATTTTTCCTTTGTTCTTATCAATTCTCTCTTTTTATCCTAGATATGTGTGTGTGTGTGTGTGTGTGTGTGTGTGTGTGTTGTAGCCTCTGTTGTGAACTCTTAACCACAGGGGGCTGCATTATTTTTCCATTTTTGCATTCTCAGTGCCCTGAACATACTTCAAGGATTCCTAATTTCATCAGTGTGGAGAGTCCCCTTCTTTGGAGTGGATCACATTGGTGGTACAACAGACAGAGCACTGGCTGTGCAGTCGTGAGACTTGGGTTCAAATCCTGCCCCTGACATTTGTTACTATTTTGACCTTAGGCAAATCACACCCCTTCTTGAGGCCTCATTTTCCTTTTTTGCGAAAGCAGGTGGTTGGGCTACCAGGGATGGGGACCTGCAGTCTTGAGGCCACATGTGGCCCCACTTGACCTAGAGGGCCACAGTGGCCTTGAGGCTGCAGGTTTCCCCACCTCTGGGCTACATAGTCTCCAAGGGCCCTTGTAGCTTTCTTCAGACTTAGCTGTCAGTCATTCAAGCATTGATTAAGCACCTACTGTGTGCCAAGGACTGGGGATACAAAGAAAGACAAAAGCAGCAACAACAGAAAAAAACAGCCTCTGTTCTCAGGGAGCTCACAGCCTGATCTTCAAGTGTCAGAGGTAGACACTGTCATTAATTAGGCCTGTTAGGGAAAGCTTTTTTAACTTGGTGGGCTTTCCAGGGCATCTTATCTAACAGCAGTGTTTCTCATTTTTTTGTTCTAAGAGTTTTATATATATATTTTTTTTACATACTTTTAAAATACTTTTGAATTTGCCATTGAGCTGTGTAGTCCTGTGACCCTCTTTTCATACCTGCTGCTTTAATTTTCCTATCAGGCAGTGTCCTTGTGCCTTAATTTTGGAGTAACATAATCATGCACATATGCTATAAATAGCAAGATTGTTCAGGGCCTAGGGGTTTCTAGTTAATTTTGATTAGTGACTTGCCCTTGGTTACAGAAGCTGTCTTTGGTGTCAGTCTCCTAAAAGCCCACAAGATGGGGATGTTTCTCCATTAGAACTACAAATAATATCCCTAAAAATTAGATTTCTTTCAAAAGAAAAAATTGAGTTTTTTCCTTCAGCTGAAAATGAGGTTGATGGGTGTGTGTGTGTGTGTGTGTGTGTGTGTGTGTGTTCTTGCCTTGGTTCCATACCTATATGGTTTAATTTAATGAAAAATTTTTAAACACCCATTATGTACAACTCTAAAGGCATTTTTTTTTCAGCATCTTCTTTATGAGCAAGGACTAGTCATGGGGAGGGGAGGTGCAAATTATTTAAGAGGAAGGATTACTAAAGAAAAATATCCTGTAAACCAGAGCAGCAGAGACCTGATGAGCATTTGACAAGGGCTCAGTGAAATCCAGCTGAGGGACAGTTGTATTCACTTTCTGATTTGGGAGGGTGTTTGTTGTACTTTTTAAATCAAATACATAGGATTACAAATGAAACCACAGAAATAATTAAGAAAACATTTTTTTTTAAAGTCCAAGTTAATGGCTCTCACGTTAAGAAGTCCTGATTTAGAGCAAGTTTCTTGTTTTGACCTGTGGCCCAGTTCTCCTCAGGGTTAAGGTTCCGTGTGGACATAGCTTTTCCTGTGGGGAAGAGAAGCCACAGACAACTCCCTGTTCTCTTTTGTAGATGGCGGTTGAGTTTCTGGATGAATTGAATGTTCCATTTTTCAAAGTTGGATCTGGAGACACTAATAATTTTCCCTATCTTGAAAAGACGGCCAAGAAAGGTGAGTGTTTCCATTTAATTTGCTCTCCTAGTGTTCTGATTTCCTCCCAGGGACTTAGCCTTTTTGTGGAGACAAACATGAAGGTTAACTGTAGAGACCTCATCTTAATCATTGAAGTGTTTCTGTCCCTCATGTTTGGTAGAGGCACCTGAGAATAGTTGGAGGGAGGAGAGGGCAGGGCTGGATTAGAGAGACCTGCTCTAGAATCATGCTTCCACTAACGTACTAGATACGTGATCCTGGGCAAATTGCTTAACTTCTCTGGGGCTCTGTTTCCTAGTCTGGGAAATGGGAATAATGGAGGCAGGCTGGAACAGCAAATGGCAAAAAGCACTGTGTGACTCTGGGGTTTAAGAGGACTTGGATTCAAATCTCCCCTCTGCCATTAACTAGGTATGCCACTTTGGGTAAGTCCAGTAGCTTCCCAGGGCTTCAGTTTCCTTACCTGTAAAATGAGGCTTTGGATCGTCAATCATTCCTAAGGTCCCTTCTCCCTCTAGATGGAGGATCAAATGATATAATGTGCACAAAACCAAAATGTGAATTGTTATTGTTTGTTCATTTAGAAGAAGGAAACTAGGGGTAAGGTATATTTTTTTTCTTTAAAAAAAAAACAAACAAAAAACCCCACTACTGAAAGCCATTTCATTTAGAGATAATTTTCAGATTTCAAATGAGGAGTGATGTCAGCTAGAGGACAGCAAGTCAGCCTGGGAGACAGGAAGGCCTGGGGTTAAGTACCAGTTCTTGACACATACTGGCTTTGAGACCACAGAGAAGTCTTGTGCTTTAGGCAATCCTACCACTATAAACCGCAGAATAGTTGTTGATCTGTGCGAGAGTCTCCACACATCAGTGAAATCACAGGTCTGTTATTCATGCACCTCCCCTCCCCCCATGAGGGGAAGGTACTGACCATTCTCTTCTACCATGTTTACAAAGTTGATTCAACTTTGATTTTTAAAAAATGTCCAGAAAATCTGTGTTCCCGCTGACAACATGGGATTGGTTGACACAAGTAATGAAACTGGAAAAGAGTGACCATGTTGGTAATTCTGTTGATCAGGTCGTCCGATGGTTATCTCTAGTGGTATGCAGTCCATGGACACGATGAGGCAAGTCTACAATATTGTGAAACCTATAAACCCAAATTTCTGCATTCTGCAGTGCACCAGTGCCTACCCGCTGCTCCCTGAAGATGTCAACCTCCGTGTGATTACAGTGAGTAGTTGATCCAGGTTATCTTATCATATCCACTGTGGTAGGCATAGGATTTTGTAAGCAGAAAATGCTAATTCACTATTTGCATGTAATGAGGTCTTAGACCTTTCAAGGTTTCCCAACAAGTTTACCACCGCAAAACAAGATGCATTCCTATAAAGGTAAATTTGAAAATTAATCTTAGTGTTTGCTATTGATTTCCATGATCAGATTGAATACAGGTATCACCATTAATTGTTACTGTCGTTTAAAATATTCTTTTGTCCTGTACTGAATAAAAATCACAGTTTAAAAAGATTTACTCCATTCTTGTTTCTTATTAGGTACATCTCTAAGGGTTCATTTTCACCCAGTTATTAAAGTTGCTGGAGTTATACATACTGATACCTGAGATTTTGAGATGAGTAGAACAATTTAATATGATAATTTTACGACATTATCTTAAATTAGGGAAAGTTTCTCTCTCTCTTTTTTTTTAGTTTTTATTAATCTCTTTTTTTAATATTGCCATCCTTCCCAAATAGATCTCTCTCTCCCTGTTCCTCTTCAGATGCTTCTCTGAATTCACATTCATTATTAGTTATGGTACAATAATAAATCCGTACCATCCCTGTGCCATGATTTGCTTAACCATTACTTAGGCGATGGGGCTCTACTTTGTTTCCAGTTCTTTGCTACTACCAAAAGTGCTGCTATGAATATTTTGGTATCAAGAAGGTCTTGCTCTTTCTCTTTGACCTCCTAGTTGTACATACCCAGCAGTGGACTCTCTGGGTCAAAGAGTATGGATGTTATAGGCACTGGAAAAGTCTCTTTTAAGAGAAAGAAAGACCATTAGCTGTTCAGACAAGGATTCCCACCGGGCTAGTTGAGTATTGACTCCATGGTTGAATAAAAGGCTGGCAAACTCCTACCTCAGCCTTTCCCTTTGACTTTAGGACATAAATGTTTGGAGGACCAGAAACTGGCTGGTTTAACTGGCTGATATTTAAAATAAAGCCTTTTACTACCTCCGGGGCACAGGTTGGTTGCCGGGGACGAGGCCCATAGTTGCAGGGCATTTCAGACTTCTAGAGGACTGCAGTGTGGCCCAAGGCTGCTGGCATGGCCAGAACGGTAGAGCTTGAAATACCGCGGTCTGCTTCAGCTCATTCATAGCGCTTCCCTCTTCCAAACCTCCTCACACGTCTCCCTTCCTTCCCATTCTCATTGTTCAGGATCCCATCTTTATTGTTGTTACCATAGCCTCCTCTGCTCGCGTTTCATCCTGTGTGCCGCTGCCCCAGAGGGATCTTCCTAAATCAGGGGGCATAATCGGAAAGGTTATAAAAGTTGGGGTCAAAGTCCCAGTCCTGGCTTTCACTGCTCACTATCTCTGTGACTTTGGGCAGATCACTTGACTTCCCCGAGCCTCAGTTTCCTCAGAATGAGGGATTTGAATATAGCGTCCCAATTTCTTCCAGCTCCAGATCAGACCAGCGTCCCTTGCCTCTCCTACTTTCTCTGGCAGTAACAGGACTTGGAGGTTTATGAAGATTCATCTCTTATTTCCATGGAGTTTTTCAGTCTGAAGGGATGATAAAGGGAAGTGCCCCCACTCTCAAAGAACTGGGGGTGGAATTATAACAACAAAGGATAGTAGTTCAGAGGAGGCAGCTGTGACGAAATAAAGAATGCTAGTCATTGAGCTGTGTGACCTCTAGTCCCCAACAGGTAAGTTATCAAACTATGGGAATAAGAAGTTTTCAGAAGTGTAAGGGAAAAGTATAGTGTAGGGGAAAAGAATTCTTCCAAAGAAGAATTGTACACTATTAACAACCACATTAAGATACTTTCTGAATCATATAATAAATGCAAATTTAAAACTACTTAAAGGTATCACTTGAGGCCTTGTACATTGACAGATGACAGAAGAAGGGAGTAGTCCGAGTTGGAGGGGCTACGGGAAGGAAAAAAGGTACCCTGGATGTACTGTCAGTACAAAAGTCACAAGAAGCAACTCGGCGTACCCATTGACTGAGCAACCCCATTACTGAGCTTATTCCCCAAGAATGTCAAAGACAGAAATAAAAGTCCCATATATAAATATATTCATAGCAGGACTCTTAGTGGAAGCATGGAACTGGAAACAAAATGGGTGCTCATGCATTTTTAAGAACTGTGGGATGTGAATGTAATGGAGTATCCTCGTGCAGTAAGAAATGCTGACTATGAGGAATTCAGGCAAACATGGGATAATTTGTTTGAAATGAGGCAAAGCCAAACTAAGCAGACTGGGCCATGACAAAGCATACAATGATGACAGCAACATAAAGGGAAAAGTTGCTAAAAGGAAGTTAACTCTGAGTAAGTGAAAAAGCAACAAGAACCTGGGCAAACAGACAGTAAAATATGTTTGCCTCTTCATAGCCGAGACGTGAGATAATACCGGTGGGTGGACGGGGGTGCGGTGAAGTACTTGAGGAGGATATTAAAAACATCATCAGGTGCACTTGCTGTATCACATGTTTAGTTGTTTTGCTTGGTTTCAAACAGGAGGGGAGAGGGTTGAAATTATTGAAGAAAAGATGAAAGACATCAACAAAAGATTTTGTTCTAAAAGTAGTTTTTAGACTAAATTATGAAGGGGTCTGATTGTCAGATTAATTCTTATAAGGATAACATGTAGATATAGATAAATATAAATAGATTGATATAGCTATAGATTGATATAGATTGCTATCGATAGATTGCTATAGATATAGATAGATAAATTGATAGATATAGATAAAGAGATAGAAATAGATATAGAGATAGAAATAACCAGGGATGTGCTGATAAATTTTTAACAGCTGGCTCTCCAGAAAAGAAAACATATACATGACTCACTAAGTTTAATCTGCATTAACATTTTCTTCACCACTTTAGGTCTAAATATTATATAAAACAATAAATCCGGCCCCGATTCCTGTAGCATTTGCCAATTTCTGAAGTGTTAAGTACTCACTCTGACACTTTAATAATTGCCTTTGGGGAGCTGGCTGCAGCACACCCCTTCATATGACACTTTCAAGTAGAAGTTAAAGTTGGTCACACGTGGCCCTTTATGAATGTTTATTCTTTTATCAGTTCTGATATTATTCATGATGATCTAGATACTAGAAACATTCTTAGAATGCATTTCTTTCCAACATCTCCTCTCTGCCTCTCCCATTTTTTTCTTTGTATTAAAGGAATATCAGAAAGCATTCTCTGACATCCCCATAGGATATTCTGGGCATGAAACGGGCATCATGGTCTCAGTGGCTGCAGTTGCTCTAGGGGCTAAGGTCCTAGAACGTCATGTGACTCTGGATAAAACTTGGAAAGGGAGTGACCATCAGGCATCGCTGGAGCCAAATGAATTAGCAGAGTTGGTGAAAGCAGTCCGCCTCGTAGAAAAAGCCTTGGGATCGCCAATTAAACAGCTTTTGCCATGTGAGATGGCCTGCAATGAGAAGGTGAGTTTTGTATTGTTTTACTGTGTATAAGCAAAAGTCATCTAAAACTGCTTATTCTGTAATTAGGGCATAGATGAAGAAACAAAATTCCACTAATTCAAACTTGAGGGAACATAGTATAGGGGAAAAGAATTGTATTTGGAGTCAAGAGAAGGGGCTCCTGGTAATAGAATCATCAGATGTTCACTCCTTCTGGTAGGGTCTGAAGTAGAAAACTTCTAAGGTTCTTTCCTACTCTTAAGAATAATCTTTCTTTAAATCATGAACACGATTTAAAATGTGGGACGTATATAAATTTTAATAAGATTTCAGTACATAGGCCTGATGGTATGAATACCAGGATTGATAATGGGGCAAGTAGTTAAAAGTTGCAGGTAACTTGTCTCTTGGCCTCTTTGCTCGCCAATACCCCTCCCTTGTAATCCTTGCCCTTCCTATTCTGAGGACCTCCCTTTGGTATTGGGACTATAAATGCCACCCTATCCTCTCTGTCTCTTTTACAAAGTAGTTTTTTTTTTAAACAGCTAAAGAGCGGCAGAGTGAAGTTGGTGTAGTATTAGTAGAAAGAAATACAGCCTTGCTATTCAACCCAACCACCTCTACCATGATCTAGAACATGTATCAGACAGAATCCTAGTCAGGAAATCCAAGATGGCCACAGTCATTCGTCTGGGTTGGCTTAAGGAGACAGACAGGTCTGTAAACAACTGGGGACGGGGTCCGGCCAGGGGCACACTATATGTGGCACATTCTAGTACCTAGAGGCTGGCACCCTGGCAGTTCCCCACTACATAGTTCCAGATTGGACTTGAGAGGGAAGAGAGTAGATCTTCAGTTCAGTTGTTCTAACCTTATAGAGACTCCAGGTGGGCTAATATTGACTAAGTCTAGCAGCAGTGTATAGTGTCCCAAACAGGGACAAGCCAACATGCTGAAACCTGAGTCAGGAACTCACAGAGCTCAGACCAAGAGGGCAGTAAGCAGACTTCTCCCCTACTCACATGGCTTTGGAAGCACTGAAATCTTGCATCACCTTTGTTCCCCAGCCTGAGCTGTCAAAGCATAGGAATGTGAGAAGATAGAAACTCAGGCTAGCCATTTCCCCCCAGAAGTGTATAGATACAAGCCATAACAAAGTCTACAGTCAAGAAGTAGGCTGGAAGAATAAGCAAACAAAAAGAATGATTTGAAAACATTTATAGGCAGTACCTCAAAGTAAAATACGGCTTAGGAACAAATTCAACCAGAATTCCCATGTAAGTTAAAGGAAGAGTTTTGTGGGGGTTTTTTTAAAGCTTAAAAATAAATTTAAAAAATAAATGAGAGCTAGAGGTACAGAACCTTATCCAAGACGATAACTCCCTGAAAATTAGAATTGACTAAATAGAAGCTGATGACTCCATGAAACATCAAGAAATATTATAAAGAAAGTCGAAAGACTGAAAAAAAAATAGAAGAAAATAGGAGGTATCCCATAGCAAAACAGCTCCCCTAGAAGATGATTCAAGGAGAAGTAATTTAAGAATTAATTGGACTACCTAAAAGCCAAGACCTCCCCCCCCCAAAAAAGAAAAAGAGCTTAGACATCATCTTTAAAGAAATAAAACTGCCGGGGGAACAGAGCCAAGATGGTGGAGTAAAAGCAGTAACTTGTTTGAGCTCTCCCCCAAACCCTTCCAAATACCTGTTAAAAATGACTCTAAACAAGTTCTAGAGCAGCAGAACCCACAAAAAGACAAAGTGAAACAAACTTCTAGCCCAAGACAACCTGGATGGTTGATAGGAAAGGTCTGTTGCACTGTGTTGGGAGAGGAGCACAGTTTAGTGTAGGCCACACAGGCAAAGATGGAGCAAGTCTTAGGAGACTGAATCATGGGCAGCCATGGTGGTTTCCAGACTTCTCAACCCACAAATGCCAAAGACAACTTAGAAGGTTAGTGGGAAAGGTCTGCTGGATCTGGGTGAGAGAGGAGCATGGTCCAGCTTTGGCACTAGTGCAGCCCCCGGGGTGGTGGCCACAGCGGCAGCGGCTGATCAGAGGGGGATTGCAGGAATCACTTTGCTGGTGCTGAGGCAGGATTCTCTTGCTTTGCCTGTGCTTGGATCTGGGTCACAGTCAGTCCTGGGGCAAGGAGGAGCGCTGGCGTGGTGGAGCTTGTAGTGTGGTAGAAAGGGAATCCTCTTCACAGTTCCAAGGCAGAAAGGAATGCTTGTGGTCACTGGTACACCAGAGCACAGGCTAGGAAAGGAGTAAACACCTCACCTTTGATTTTACTGTCCTGGAAGAACTGAAAATTTACAGGTCCCTAGAAGTATCTCTGAAAACAGCTGCACAAAACCCCTGAAGCTGGGGACAGTACACCCTCTACACTAGAAGTAGAGCCCTGCCTTAACAAAGAGTTAAAAAGTCAAGTAATTGGCTGGGAACATGAGCAAACAGCAGAAAAAAAAATCAGACTATAGAATCTTACTTTGGTGACAAAGAAGATCAAAATATATAACCAGAAGACAACAAAGTCAAAGCTCCTACATCCAAAGCCTCTAAGAAAAATATGAATTGGTCTCAGGCCATGGAAGAGCTCAAAAAGGATTTTGAAAATCAAGTAAGAGAAGTAGAGGAAAAATTGGGAAGAGAACTGAGAGTGATGCAAGAAAATCATGAAAAATGAGTCAACAGCTTGCTCAAGGAGACCCCAAAAAATGCTGAAGAAAATAACACCTTAGGGGCAGCTAGGTGGCGCAGTGGATAGAGCACCAGCCCTGAAGTCAGGAGGAACTGAGTTCAAATCTGGCCTCAGACCAAACACTTGACACGTATTAGCTGTGTGACCTTGGGCAAGTCACTTAACCCCGATTGCCTCACTAAAAAACAAACAAACAAACAAAAAAAACAAACCACACCTTAAGAAATAGCCTAACCCAAATGACAAAAGAGGTCCAAAAAACCAATGAGGAGAAGAATGTCTTGAAAAAGCAGAATTAGCCAGATGGAAAAGGAAATCCAAAAGCTCACTGAAGAAAATAATTCCTTAAAAATTAGGATGGAATAAATGGAAGCTAATGACTCTATGAGAAATCAAGAAATTATAAAATAAAACTAAAAGAATCAAAAAATTGAGAACAATATGAAATATCTCATTGGAAAAACAACTGACCTGGAAAATAGATCCAGGAGAGAGAATTTAAAAATTATTGGACTACCTGAAAACCATAATCAAAAAAAGACCCTAGACATCATTTTAAGAAATGATCAAGGAAGACTGTCCTGATATTCTAGAACCAGAGGATAAAATAGAAATGGAAAGAATCCATCAATCACCTCCTGAAAGAGATCCCGAAAGGAAAACTACTAGGAATATTATAACCAAATTCCAAAGTTCCCAGGTCAAGGAGGAAATAGTACAAGCAGCCAGGAAGAAACAATTCAAGTATTGTGGAAACACAATCAGGATAACACAAGATTTAGCAACTTCTACATTAAGGATCAGAGGGCTTGGAATATGATATTCCAGTGGTCAAAAGAGCTAGGATTAAAACCAAGAATCACCTCCCCAGCACAACTGAGTATAATCCTTCAGGGGAAAAAATGGATATTCAGTGAAATAGAGGACTTTCAAGCATTCTTGATGAAAAGACCAGAGCTGAATAGAAAATTTGACTTTCAAATACAAGACTCAAGAGAAGCATGAAAAGATAAACAAGAAAGAAACTATAAGGGACTTAATAAAGTTAAACTGTTTACATTCCTACATGGAAAGATGATATTTGTAACTCATGAGCCCTTTCTCAGTATTAGGGTAGTTGGAGAGAATATACATATACATATATATGTGTGTGTGTATATATATATATATACACATACATACATACACACACACACAGAGCGCACAGGGTGAGTTGAATATGAAGGGATGATATATAAATAAAATTAAGGGGTGAGTGAGGATTATACTGGAAGAAGGAGAAGAGAGGTAGAATGGGGGCAAATTATCTCACATAAAAGAGACAAGAAAAAGCTTTTACAGTGGAGGGAAAGAGGGGGGAGGTGAGAGGGAATGAGTGAATCTTACTCTTATCAGATTTGGCTTAAGGAGGGAATAATATACACACTTAGTTGGGTATGGAAATCTATCTTACCCTACAGGAAAATAGGGGGAAAGGGGATAAGAGAGGGGGAATGATAGAAGGGAGGGTAGATTGGGGGAGGGGGTAATCAGAAGCAAACACTTGAGGAGGGGCAGGGTCAAAGGTAAGAATAGAATAAACGGGGTGGGATAGGACAAAGGAAAATGTAGTTAGTCTTTCACAACATGACTGTTAATAGAAGTGTTTTTCATGACTACACATGTATAATCTATATCGAATTACTTGTCTTCTCAATGAGGGTGAGTGGGGAGGGAGGAAGGGAGAGAATTTGGAACTCAAAATTTTAAAAACAAATGTTAAATTGTTTTTACATGCAACTGGGAAATCAGATATACAGGCAAAGGGGTACAGAAATCTATCTTGCCCTATAGGAAAATAGAAGGGAAAGGGGATAAAGAAGGGAGGGGGTGGGGTGATAAAAGGGAGAGCACATTAGGGGAAGGAGTATTCAGAATGCACATTGTCTTGGGGTGGGGGGAGGGGAGAAATAGGGAGAAAAAATGGAACTCAAAATCTTGTGGAAGTGAGTGTTGAAAACTAAAAAGAAATAAATAAATTAAAAAAGAAATAAAACTGCCCAGATATCTTAGAACCAGAAGGAAAAGTAGAAATTGAAAGAATCCACCAGTCACCTCCTGAAAGAAATCTCAAAATAAAAATGCCCAAATCCAGAGCTCCTATGTCGAAGAAAAAAATACCATGAACAACCATAAAGAAAGGATTTGAGTACTGAGGAGACACAGTCAGGTTTACAGAAGATTTAGCAGCCATCATTTAAAAAGAGTGGAAAGCTTAGGATATGATATTCCACAAGGTAAAGGATCTAGGCTTACAGCCAAGAGTAACTGACACAGGAAATAATCCAACTGGGGGGAAAATGGATCTTCAGGGAAATAGAGGATTTCCAAGCATTCCTAATAAAAGACCAGTACGAGTAGAAAATTTGACATAAACACAGGAATTAGGAGATGTAAACAAGGGACTAAACAAGGTTAAGCTGTTTATGTTCTTTTATAAGGGAAATGGTACATATACCCTGACAGAATGCTATAATCATCAGGGATCGCAGAAGACCTGGAAGTGATTGTAATGTTTTAAGGATATTAAAAGAAGGGAAGAGGAAGAGGAAGAAAAAATGATCTCACTTGAGGTTCACAAGGAGAAGTCTGCAAAAAAGGAGGAGGGATTGGGTAACACTTAAACCAGCACTCATCTGAACTTTTCCCAGGAGGAAGGAATATACATACAAACACAGTTGGGCACAGAAAAACAAATAGAGAGTTAAAACAAGAAGCTAGAACAGAGTCTATTATGATTCAGCTGAAGTTAAAAAGGGTAGAACTCATAATCTCAGACAAAGCTGTGGCAAAAATAGACTTAATTAAAAGAAATAAACAGGAAAACTCATTTTTACTGGTATGTACCACAGTGACTTAATATAAATATTAAACAGACACCAAGTGGCATAGCAGCTAAATTCTTGAACTGAAAGTTAAGTGAATTACAGGGAGAAATAGTAAAATTTTAATAGTGGGGGACCTCAGCTTACCCTCTAAAAAAAGAAATTAAGGACATAGAGTTTTGAAAAGTTAGATATGGTAGAACTCTAGAGAATTCTGAATAGAATTGGAAGGTGTATACCCACTTCTCATCTATGATGGAGCTTTCACAAAAATTGACCGTGTATTAGGGCATAAAAACCTCACAAACAAGTGCAAAGAAGCAGAAATATCTTTTTTGACTATAGTACCATTCAATAAATGACCTTTGAAACAAAGATTAAAAATTAATTAGACACTAAATAACTTAATTCTAAAGAATGTTTGGATCAAAGAATATATCATAGAAACAATCAATGATTTCATTAAAGATAGTGACAACAATGAGACAATATATCTAAATTTTTGGGATTCAGTCAAAGTGGTACTTAGGGGAATTTTTTATCTCTAAATCCTTATCAATAAAAGAGAAAGAACAAATCAATAAATTAAACATGCATCTAGAAAAAAAAAAACAACCCTAGAAAACCAACAAATTAAAAACTCAAACACCGAAATTGAAATCATGAAAATTAGAAAAAAAAATTAAAAACCAGTAAAATAGATAGGCCATTAACTAGAATGATTTAAAAAAATCAATTCAAATTTTTTACTGTTATCAAAAATGAATTCACAACCATTGAAGAACAAATAATTAGGAGCTATTTTACACAGTTATCTTAGAAAAAGAAATTGAACAGCCTATAAATCAATTCCAAGAGGAAAAAAAGGACCAAATGGATGTATGAGCAAATTCTATCAAACATTTAAATAACAGTTAATTCTAATATTATACTGTTTAAAAATATAAGAAAAGAATATCTACCACACTCCTTCTATGACACAAATATAATCTTCATACCCTAAATGAGGGAGAATCAAAACAGAAAAAAAAACCACAGACCTACATACAAAATGAATATTAATGTAAAAATTTTAAATAAAATATTAGCAAGGAGATGGTAGCTTAGTATCAAATATATATATATGTGTGTGTGTATATATATATGTGTGTGTGTGTGTGTGTGTGTATATTTATGTATGTATGTATGTATGTATGTATGTATATATATGTCTATATTATGACCAGGCCACATTTATACTAGGAATTCAAGGCTGATTTCAACATTAGGAAAACTATAAACATAGTTAACCATATGAATAACAAAAATAAAACTCTTCCAGTTATTGCAACAGATTCAGAAAAAGCTTTGAACAAGGTGCAACACTTATTCCTATTAAAAACACATGAAAGCAAAGGAGTAAATGGAGCTTTCCTTAAAATGATAAGTAATATCTATCTAAGCCAGTGATAGTCAGCATTATCTATGATGGAGATAATATAGAGGCTTTCCTTGTGACAGTAAGGGTAAAGCAAGGATGTCCATCATCACCCTACTATTTACTATGATGTTAGAAATGCTAGTTATAGCAATAAGACAAGATAAAGAAATTGCCATGCATTCTTTGCCAAACCCCAATCCTAGATTGCTCCCAATATCAACTTCCTTTGCTATTGCTACTCACAGGCTAACGAGTGGTGCCGAAGGAAGTTACAGTGTGATGATGACTGGGTCTACCAGATTTAAAATTTTACATTAATATTATCTAATCTGTATCATTTTATCAAAAGAAATCTCATAAAGATAAAAAGCGTAGGCAAAGAGGGAAAAAATAATTACTTTTTGCATATGATATGATAATTTACTTAGAAAACGCCAGAGAGTCAATTAAAAAACTAATTGAAGCCACTAGCAACTTTAATAAAGTTGCAGAATATAAAATAAACCTACCCAACTCATCAACATTTTTATATTTTATCAACAGAATCCAGCAGGAAAGATAACTACAAATAGTATAAAATACTTGGGAGTTTATCTGCCAAGACACATATAGGAACTATATGAACACAATTATAAAACACTCTTTACACAAATAAAGACAGGTTGAAATAATTGGAGAAACAGTAGTTTTTCATGGGTAGGTGAAGCCAATTTAATAAAAATTGTGATGTTACCTAAATTAATTTACTTATTTAATGCCAAATCAAACTACCAAAGAATTACTTTGTAGAACTAGAAAAAATAATAACAAAAGTTATCTGAAGGAACAAAAGGTCAAGAACATCACAGGAATCAATGGGAAAAAAATGCAAAGGAAGGAGACCTAGCAGTACCAGATCTCAGACTATATACACAGAACTGGTAGACTCAGAATACATATTGAGGCCTAATTCTTTTGGAACATTGATAATATGGGCATTTGTTTTGCTTGACTATCCATGTTTGTAATGGGTTTTGTTTTTCTTGATTTCTCAATGGGTGGGGTGGAGGGTTAGGAGAGAATTTGGAGCTTAAAATAAAATTGAGCTTTTAAAAAAAGCAGTCAAGAAAACCACAATATCTCTGTCCTTTTGAAAGGTCAGCACTTCCATGTGTATATGTATATTAAGATACTCACGTGTTTTGTTTTGTTTGCAGCTGGGTAAATCAGTGGTGGCCAAAGTGAGGATTCCTGAAGGTACCATATTGACAATGGATATGCTTACAGTGAAGGTGGGTGAACCGAAAGGATATCCTCCTGAAGGCATTGCCAATCTCATTGGCAAGAAGGTCAAAGTGAACATTGAAGAGGATGATACCATCCCAGAAGAAGCCATAGAAAATTTGTCAAAAAAAATAAAATCTTAAAGAAAAATTACATTTATTGAGCTCTTACCTCCTCTGTCTCAGTTTTGGGTGACAGATTAGAATAATCAGTACATGGAGAATGAGTGAATGGTTGGGGAAAGTGGGCTACATAAGCACTCAACAAGTAATTGTCACATGAATGAAAGAATGACCTTCACAAACTTGACCCTCCTGTGACTCCACTTACCATTTCTATAACTTTTTAAATCAAAATGCCTCTCTCTGGCCGCCACTCCCTTATAATTTTGTATCACCTGTTAGAATGTAAACTCCTTGAGGGAAGGGATTCTTTTCTCTTTTTGTATATCCAGAGATTATTACAATGCTCACATATGTTAAGACTTAATAAATTATTTTTCATTCAAGTCTCTGATATCACATGATTTTTGCTTTGCTTTCCTTGCCTCCCACAAAATTCATTTCCTTTTATATGACTGGCTCTGTATTCCTCACTTGTTCTGCTCTAATTAGAGCCCCATTGCTCTTTTCTCTGTCATGCATATCAAATCTGAATTATACCTGAGTAGGAATTCTCTCTACTATATTCTCAACAAATGGTCATACATCCTCTCTGATTGAGAGAGAATTCAGTGTTAATTGTTGAGGATATTTTTCCATATATTGAGTTGAACCATGAATCACATTCAGTATGATCAACATTGTAACATGGCAGCCACCAAGACTCCATTAATAATAGCATAATGGATTGAGAATTAGGGCCAGATGAACATCACTCCTTTTAATATCGAATGCACAGTTTGTTGTAGAAATACAACGACTCAAACAGGAAAGGAAAAAAAAAACAGGCAGGAAAAAGACAGAGTTGCTCCCATGGTAGTCTCATATATAATGACCAGAAGTCTGTGGGTGTTATGGGGGTGGGACTTTTAGGGAGGTCTGATGCCAGCACAATATCTTGTGAATGAAGCCTGAAGTCAAAGGGCACTCAGGTCTCAGCCTGTTGGAGCTGTAGAAGGTGATAAAACCAACTCTTAATAGGTTACTGCAAAAAGAAATGGAGATAAAACCAAGACATACGGGCAGAAAACTCCATAGGATCCTCCAGAATTAGCATGATCTCCAATTTCCTATTAGGAAACACCAGGAGACTAAACCAACTCTTAAATAGGTGACTATATAAAAAGACAGAGGGACTGATGTGCTTAACATGCCTCAGGGCCCTCCTGGAGTCCTGAAGGCACTCTCCAGTATCCTTTTATACTTACATGAAGGGAGAAAGCCAGTTTGCAGTAGGGGAGGGTGCAAGAACTCACAGGTGGAGGCATCCATGTCTCTGAACCTTCCAATTCATCAACATTTATTAAGCACTTAACTATATGCCAGGCACTGAGTTGAAGAGTTAGGAATACAAAGCAAAAGCAAAAATAATAATCACTTTCAAGGAGATTATATTCTATTAGACAGTGGAGAAAACAAGATATGTACAGAATAGATGGAAGATAGGGTTAGCAGGAAAGTTGGAGGGTCTGATGCCCTCCTGAGGTCTGACATCTGGTTGGGGCTTGTTAGGATCATGCCAGGGGACAAAGCCAACTGCCTGCAGGTGAATGGGCAAGGAGAAGAAGACAGATGGAACTCAGGTCAGTGGGCATTGGGCCACCAAGGGTTGAAGGCAGGGATTGAGGCTATCACATGGCTATATTAATAGATGCGGGGGGGGGGGGGAAACAACTTTTGATGATATATAATACACATGTCATAAAAAACACTAAAAATCAGAGGAATAAATGAACTTTTCTTTAATATAGTAAACAGTAGCTTTCCAAAACCAAGAACTAGCATTTTCAATACTAAAGAGACCTCTCCAGGGAGACCACAGTCTAAGCAAGAAGGTCCATTATTACTACCTACTATTATTTGTAGGACATGACCAATTTCCCAGTCACCCAAGTTTACAACCTTAGAGTTATCCTTCACTACTCATTCTCCTTCACCCTGTGTAGTCAATCAGTTGCAGTCTAGAAATGCTAGATATTACAAATTGATGGAATAAACATAAGAAGAAATAAAAGTATTGCTAGTTACTCTTTTAGCTGGTGACCTCATCAGCTCTCTTAGATTCAATGATATTTCTATCCAGAGGATTCTCAGATTTATACATCTAGCCCATAGGTTCCCAAAGTGGGCAATACTGCCCCCGGGGGGGCCCTGGAATGATATGGGAGGGGGTGGTAGTAGCCTTGGGTGCAATTGGGGAGTGTTGAATAAAAATAAGGGGGCAGTGAAAGCGTAAAGAAAGAAGAAAAATTTGAAAAACAATTTGTACATGTTTCATCTGTTGTATAACAGATTTAGTGTTGTAATGATTACATTATTTTCCAAATAAACACACAAAATGCAAGTTATAACCGATCAACGGTCAAGTCTGCTGACAAGTCTTAACAAGCAAGTGTTGGTAGGAGAGTGTGTACTGCATTGTCAAAAAGTCTAGCATGCATTGGCAGGAATATGTGTGTGTAATGACTTGTTTATAATATGATACTATATGGTTACATGGCACAATATTGCATCATTAAAATTTTGATTTTGATTTTGATGATGCAATATTACATCATCAAAATTTTAATGATGCAATATTGCATCATCAAAATTTTAATGCAGGAAAAACCACAAATCTACAATAAATTATTCAATTGAAGATGAACTTTTTGAAAAAAAATTGTATTTTTTTGAAATGACACAAATTTTTTTTTTAAAAAGACCTTTAAAGGGTTAAAGAAAGATTTCGGGGGGGGGGGCACTGAGAAATTTTTTTAAAAGGGGGCAGTAGGCCAAGTTTGGGAACTTCAGACCTAGTCCGTGTGTGTGTGTGTGTGTGTTTCTCTCTCTCTCCTAAGCTCCAATCCTACATCATTAATTAGAGATTTTACGTTTTCAATTGGGATTTCTTTTAGTCCTCTCAAACTCAACTCTCATGACCTACACCTGAAACAACACACAACACACAGGGATGGTCAAACCTTTGCTCTCACCATTATCTGTAAGTGTTCCATTTCCATGACCTATAATTCTGAAATTACTTTATCTGACCTCATCTTTCATCCCAACCTTCTCTGTGCTTCACTCCTTCTAAACCTATTTCTTTATTTCTCACTATGACTATCAAGCCCTCCACCCCTCAATATTCTCCCAGGCCATCACCTTTGCTTTGTCTTCATTTCCTCCCTCCCTCTCCCAATTTTGACTTTATAATTAAACAATTTAACATTATATTATCCATTACTCAAGATCCCAGGCCCCCTTTTCCTATTGCCATGCATTCTTTGCCAAACCCCAATCCTAGATTGCTCCCAATATCAACTTCCTTTGCTACTGCTACTCACAGGCTGACAAATTGTGCCAAAGGAAGTTGCAGTGTAATGATGACTGGGTCTACTCCAAATTTTAAAATTTACATTATCTAATATCAATTATCTAATCTATATCATTATCATCCTATACCTAGTCTATATCATTATTTATTTTTGCCTATATATCAATCTATATCTAATCAATATCATTATCTAATATCTAATAACCCTTACTGCAGTAAAGCAGTCCTTTTATTCTCCCCCCACCCCGTTGAATTTCTATTGTATTCAGTGCAGTGGGTCTTCTAAACCTTTTTCCTTTCTCAATCTTTCCATACCACTACGTCCCTCCCATTCTCTCAGTAGAGGATCTTGTTTGGTATTTTCCTGAGAAAATAAAGGCCATTCATTGTGAGGTCTCTCTTTAGCTCTTTCCTCTATCTCAAAACTCTTGACATAATCCCTATTCTCTTGTGCCTAATTCCTAATTCTTGCGTCCTTTCTCCTTGGCAAGGACAACACTTCTGCTTGTACTGTTGACTATCCTCTATCGTCTCCTCTGTCAAATTGCCCCTTCACTTATACTTTTTGTCTCCAATCTTCAATCTCTCCCTCTTTACTGGCTCCCACCTTCCTCAACTCTTTTCAATCTGGCTTCTGACCTCATTCCTCAGCTGAAATTGATCTCTCCAAAATTGCTAATAAACTCTTAATTGCCAAGTCCAGTGGTCTTTTCTTAATCCTCATACTTTTTTTTTAACCTCTACAGCATCTGATACTGTTGACCACCTTCTCTTGGACAGTCTCTCATCTCTGGGCTTTTTATAACACTGTTCTCTCTAGGTTCTGAACACCCCTTTTCAGTCTTTTGGTGGATAAGCTTCCACATCGCACCCTCAGGCTCTCTATGATGATGACCCCCAGGCCTGAATATGTAGGCCTAGTCTCTCCCAAATTCCAGTCCCACAACAAAACCATTTTGAACTGGATATTCCACAAGCATCTTATACTCATTATGTCCAAAACATAACTCGATCTCTTTTCTTCAAAACCCACCCCTCTTCAGAACTTCCATGTTTCTTTGTAGGACACGATCAACTTTGCAGTCACCTAAGTTTACAACCTCGGGGTTATCCCTCACCTCTCATTCTCCTTCACTCCCTGTAGTTGATCACCGGCCAACTCTTGTTGATTCTACCTTCATGACGGCTCTTGCTTCCCTCCCCTTCTCTTTAGTCACACAGTCACTGTCCTCCTTCTGGCCCTCAAGATCTCTCACCTGGGCTATCGCAATAGCCTTCTAATTGGTCTCTCCTTCAAGTCTCCTTTCTTCCTTCACACAGCTGCCAATGATACTCCTAAAGCATGAGTCTGACTACATTACTCCTCTGCTCCCTATTTCCTCTTCTATTTGACCTTCACAATTTGATTTCAGCATACCTTTGCAATCTTATCATGCATTACTCCCCATCATAGGCATAGTGTGCTGCCACTGGTAATTTTGTTGTTTCTCACAAATGACATCACATCTCTTGTATCCCTTTTCCCAGGCTGTGTGCCATGCTTGTAATGTACTTCCTACTCACCTTCCCCTCTTAGAATTCCTAGATCCCTCCAAAGCGCAGCTCAAGGGCTACCTCCTTCATAAGGCCTCTCTGGATCTCCACAGTTACTTGTATCTCCCCTGCAAAATACCTCATGTTTTATCTTACATTTATTTTACAGATGCTTATGGACCAAGGCTTATGAGGGTGACTCGTATATATAACAGGACTGTATGGCCACTTACCTTATTTGTTTCTCATCTCTCAGATTATTACATGGTTTGTTCTCACGTTTACTATCATTCAGAGTTATATGGTAAACCAGAGATATATCTGGAAATTTTCTCGATAGGGATAGGAACTAGATCTATGATTTCACTGGTATAAGGAGCTCCCAGTTAATGAAAATTTCTTCTTCCAATACAGATCAGCAAATGCTCTGCAAATCAGTCTTAGAGAATTAACTGGGCCACTGAGAGGTTTAATGATTTCCCCAGGATCACACAGTCA